CCCACAGGAATAATTCATTCTCCTCTTTGCTATACTTGAAAAAGTGACACAAGCACATCTTAAGGAGGTCAAATTGGCTTCAAATTTATTTTAGAATGATTAGTTACCCACAATTTGTGGGTCAGTTTTATTTATTTTGAATTTTACAAAACATACTAAAAATGAAAGCTTTAAAGGCGTGTTACTCCAAAAATCACCTCTTATGATAAAATTTTATAACATTTAGTTTCTATTGTTATTTGTAGGTTTTGACAGTACTCTATTACAAAAATAATTAAAAGCAGACTTTGGGGTAAGGTATTTTTAATAATTGAAGAGCAATAGAGTTAGATTAGGGTTTCTCAAGCTTGGTACTATCAACGTCTTGGACTGATGATGATTCCTTGCAGGAGGCTGCCCTGGGCAATGCAGCAGCCCTGGCCACTAACCAGTGCATGCCAATAACACCACTCCCTTTTCCTAGCTGCTCATTTCAATGGGAAATGCTTCCAGACATTGCCAAACATCCCCTGGGGGAAAAATTTACCAAAAGAATCACAAACTCTGAAATATTCTAGATTGTGAAAGACCTCTTCTTAATAGTAAGTAGGCCAGTCATAGTGGCTCATGCTTGTAACTCCAGCACTTCGGGAGTCCAAGATGGGAGGCTTACTTGAGGCCAGAAGTTGAAGGCTAGCCTGGGCAATATATTAAGACTCCCTCTCTTCAAAAAAATTGAAAAAATATCCAGGAATGGTGACACCCTGATAGTCCCAGATACCAGGGAGGCTGAGGCAGAAGGCTCACTTGAGTCCAAGAATCTGAAGTTATAGTGAGTTATGATCATGCCGCTGAACTCCAGCCTGGGTGACATAGCAAGGTCCTGTATTTAAAAAATAAAAATAAAAATAGAATAAGTAGAATCCCAGTCTATAAATAATTAAGAGGTTTAAAAAAAAAAAACAGTACCACCAATAATATTCAAATAAAAGTCCCACAAATATGCACCTACATGGGCCAGTTGGTGAGAAGAAAATCTACAGTTAATGTTGAAAATATTTAACAACTGAAATTGCGTTGGTACCCAACAATCAGAAGACTTGATATAGCCAACTGTACTCCTACATATCAACTGAATATCGATCCTGGAAAAAAGCGAGGTGCAAAGCAGGGGTTTCCATTTATGTAAAAACCAGGAGCAGGGAAGATGTATGTGTGTGTGGAGTTGTGTTTATATATGTATTTGTAGATATACATCAATTAGCAATACACTAATACCTAAGAATCTGGTGACAGTGATTGCCACTAGAGAGGGAAACTGGAGAAGATCACCAGGTAGTTTATTGTTTAAGGAGAATCAGTTTTGAGAGTGAAAGGGAAAGTTATAGCAGGCATAAACTCACAAGCTGTCTGATATCTGATCATCCTACAACTGGGAGCTGGGTTCAGGGGCTGGGGAAGGTTACTTTTCGCTCTACCAGACAAAAATTATTGTTCTTACCTTTTTTTAAATAAAAAGGGCCCTAGAAACTGGAATGGATATGCAATCCCCAATGAAATAAAAATGGCAGACTGTCATTTTTTGAACATTTTTTTCCTATTACTATCATTAAGGGAAAAAATATAGCTATTATTATTACGATTAAGGGTCAATCTGGGTGTTGAAAATGTTATCTATTCGTCGTAACCTTATTAACCGTGATAATGATCCAACTACCTTTTAAGCTAAGAAGTCAATATTACTGATGAAATCGCCCTTGAGGTTAGGCTATCCACACGAGAGCAAGCCCAGGTCTCTGCGCTGTTTCTCAAGGCATCTTGCACAGGAACTTACTGCTTTTTCTTCCCTTCTCTTTCAATGTCCTGTGAAACGTTTCAGAGTGTGAGTAAACCAAACTGAAACATTATAACTCTATTATGTTATTCAGGACTTCGTGTGTTCCAGTCAGACTGATTTACAATAAGGACATAATGTTAATAATTGTAACTTTAGAATTTGCTCACCTGGAGAAAATGATTTATGTAATTAGTGAGTTAGAAAAAACAGGGACGACAGATAATCATTCGATGTATATTACATGCAGTTCTTAATCTAAGAACTTCACATGCATGAACCCATTCCATCTTTATTTCAAAAGACACACAAACTCTGTGCAAATAGGTACTCTTATTAGTCTCCCTTTAAAGATGAAGAAAACTGAGCCTAAGGGCCTGACTTGCTAGATCGCATGGCTTGTAAACGGCAAAGTCAACTTTGAACCCAAGTCATGACCCCACAGCCTGTGCTTTTAACCTCAACATGGCACTGCCTCCTGGGTCTGGGTTGGCAACCAAGAACCTTAAGCTCCAATTTCAAATCTACCATTTCCATACTTTCTAAACTAAAAATAGGAAACAGAGTTAGAGAACAGGTTAGGATATTTTGTAAGTTTTTCCCCCAAGATGTGAAGTTGGTATAACTAAATGGGACACAATTAAATCTCTTGGTTCCCACTTCCTCACCAAGGCAGTGAGACAAGGAACCAGATGATGTCCAAGGTTTCAATTGCTTTATAAAAATAGGAAATCCTCCTCTGTGCCAGGCAATTGTCAAAGTGCTTTACGAAAATGAATTCATTCCATTTTCTTAACAGCCCTATAACCAGTCATAAGTATTCCCAATTGGGCAGCCAGCAAACTAAGGTCCAAAGAATTTCATGTGCTTTGGCCATGGTTAGCTAGTCAGCTTCACACCCAGGCATCTGGCAACTCAGCCTGTGTGAATCGCTCTGCTATGCAACCTCTTGTTATAAATGTAGAATAAGTTACAGATATAGAAAATAAATATAGAATTTAGTCTAGAATAAAGGAAATCTTCCCCAGGGAGAGACAGGCCCTCAGGTAGGAAGCAAAACTTCACATTTGGCCCATATTTGTGTTTCCTGTGCCAAGGTCAGGTGTCCTCTGCAGCTCTGATATCCCTGGAGGTTCGGGGAAGGACCCATCCTCTCCTATTTTCTCCCCAGCACCTGAATTCTCCCCGTGCTGCTGTATTCCTGCCTGTTGCCTTCAAGCATTACTTAAAGATTGGAGGAAATCATGGAGATTGAAATGTGGTAAAGGGAGGCCAGCTAGAAAATAGGGTGTATCAAGAGACTCACATACAAGGGAGTAAATCAAAAGTACAAAGTTCAAGCTAGAAATAACTGCTCTTTTTAGATTTTCTTCTCCTGCCTAAACTCTTCATCCCCACCCAGCAAATGCATGAGCACTACGGTTTGCTGTGGAGAGGAATTCATGCCGAGGACACCATTTCTTGCAAAATCACTAGGCACAATCTTTAACTCAGTGCCAACCCTCATTCCCCAAGCAAATATTAGAATTTGGAGAGTGTCAGGCCCTGGTTTAAGTATTGTAAGGATAAAAAAATGGAGTAAGTTTCTGGACTTGAGTTTGCCTGCCTGTGCTCACAGTCCTGGCAGTGAGCCCTTGAATATAATACTTAACAGTTCTAATAATAAGTTTCCATATATTGAGCTCATGCGTGGGCCAGGCAGGCGTTATACAGATTCCATCTCTAGTGCACATGACAGTTCTGGTACTTAGGCATTATTATCCCCATTTTATGGATTATTACAACTGAGGCCCCAGAAAGGAACTAAGGTTCAAACCCAGTTCCCATGCTCTTGTCAGGTTGTCTTCCTGCAGTCTCAGCCTCACTTTCCTTTCCTGTGAAAGGGAGCTAAATTCTCATACAGCTGCTGAGACAATGAGACAGGATGACATAGAGTCGGGCATACCTCTTTGCCCACCAAATGGTGGTTCTTACCACCCGGAGAGGAAGTCACATGGAGGTGAGTAGAAGCACTTAAAGAGCTTCCTGAGTCAGGAGAGGGAGCAAACCTCCCTGGTGAGACAAGAGCTGGTTTTGCTCCTTGAAGGATGAAATGTGTTTGGGTGTGTGACATTGAAAGCCAGGGGCCAGTAAGAAAGAAGAAAACGCTTTAAGGTAGGGAAAGAGGAATTGTCACAGCCATGTGTGTAACTTCAGGGATTCTTATTTTCAAATATTTTTAAAAGAACTAGAAAATTTCAACTCTATTCTTTTGAGAGAAAAAAACAAACATACCATTAATTTTCCCAGATGAAGTGAGGTTGTATTCCAGGTGAATGCCTGCTGCCTTTGCTAAGTAACACCTCAGTTCTAGATAGGAAGGGCAGAGACCTTGTAACAGGACCTCTGAGAAGGAGTTATAAATGTAGAAAGAAAGATCTGGAAATGGACAGCCCCTGGTGCTTCTTCCTTACCTACCCCAGGTGCCTGCAGACCGTGGCTTCTAGACAGGCCCAATTCTGAAAATGGGTACACTCTGCCTGCTAGTCTGGATATAGTTTAATCATTAAGGACTAAATAGTTACAAATTAGTGAAAAGAAAAAACCCGCATGCCTTCATTTTATTACTTACTTATAAAAGTGAGTGAAATTTTCTGCCCCATCTCCTTGTTAGCAAACAGACCTCAGATGTGGACAGGAGCAGAGAATCTGCAAACCACAGAGATGTTGAACATGGCTGTGCTGTAGAGAGCACGCAGCCTCCATTTACCAAACCTACTTTCAGTTTTAAGTGTGATTTCTATCTAACAGTCTCAACTCTAGAATATGGAAGAAATCATATTTTAGTCACTTCCATGTTTTCTCAAATAAAACTTAAAAAGTACTAGGTACCGAGTTAGAGTAAATCCATGAGGACAGCTAGAGGAACAGTGAGAAGAAAGAGAAAGGATTTGTTCCTTAAGAAAAATATGCCCCAGTCAGTCAAAGATGACCGAAAGAAAAAGTACCACGCACAACAATAGCCCTCCCCCTTCAAGAAACTCTCACAACTTCTTTTGCTATAGAGGAAGACAAACGTTACAATATCTTGCTAACCAATCAGCAACGCTGCCGGCCTCAAACCAGGAAGCCCTTTAAGGTGTAGTATTTTAAACTATACAAAAAAGATTTCTGTCTCTCAGTTAGTTTTTGTTCCCTATGCTTGTAGGATGGAAAAGCAGATGTGAAGTCCCTCATGGCGAAATTTAACACAGGGGGCAACCCAACAGAGGAGGTGGCAGTCAATAGCCGGCCCTTCAAAGTCACAGGACAAAACTCACCTTCAGGAATACAAGCAAAAAAGAACTTGTTCAACAACCAAGGAAATGCCAGCCCTCCTCCTACAGGACCCAACAATGTACCTAAGTTTGGGTCCCTAAAGCCACCGTTGGCGGTGAAACCATCTTCTGAGGAAAAGCCTGACAAGGAACCCAAACCCCCATTTCTAAAGCCAACTGGAGCGGGCCAAAGATTTGGAACCCCGGCAACCTCAGCCCCCAGAGACCCTGAGGTGAAACCAGGATTTCTGAAGCCTGTAGGCCCCAAGCCCATCACTTTGCCCAAAGAAGATTCCAAACCTGTGTTTCCCTGGCCTCCTGGAAATAAACCATCACTTCACAGTGCAAACCAAGACCATGACTTAAAGACACCAGGCCCGAAACCTGGACCTGCTCCTCCAGACCCAGAAAATGAACAGAAGCAAGCATTCCCGAAGTTGGCTGGGGTGAAAGGCAAATTTATGTCATTATCACAAGATCTTGACCCCAAACCCCTGTTTCCCAAACCTGCCTTCGGCCAGAAGCCATCTCTGAGTACCGAGGACTCCCATGAGGGTGAGAGCCCTACTAAGAATTCATCTCTACAGAAAGGCACCCCAGCTCCTCTGGGAGCGAGGTCCAAAGGTGGCCCTTTAAAACCAGCAAAGGAAGACCCAGAAAAAAAAGACCACACTGGTGATACGTCAAGTTCACCTTTTCCTGGAGTGGTTCTGAAACCCACTGGGATTAGAGGAGGCCCAGGCCTCTCCAAAAATGGTGAAGAAAAAAAAGAAGATAGGAAGATAGATGCTGCTAAGAATATCTTTCTCAGCAAAATGAATCTGGAAGAGTCTACCTCTGGGGCTCCTCCCGCCAAGTTCCCAAAGGCCCCTTCTAAGCTGACTATGGGGGGGCCGTGGGGCCAAAGTCAGGAGAAGGAAAAGGGAGACAAGAATTCAGCCACTCCAAAGCAGAAGCCATTGCCTCCCTTGTTTACTTTGGATCCACCTCCACAAAAGCCCAGCAGACCACCAAATGTTGACCTGTCGAAATTCCGAAAAACCACTTCTGGAAACAGTGAGTACTTTTTCATTTGCTATTTAGTGTGATTTATTCCACTGCAGAGGGTGTTTTAGCTTCAGAGGGAAATTTGTAACAAGGAACGATTCCGTAACTAGTACTCTTGGGTATGGGATGCATTTTTTTTTTTGGCATTTTTTCTTCTGTGTGGGAGGTCTGAGAAAGCAGGAAGCCTTGGTTCTGTGTAGGCATTCTGTGAGAAAATGCCTTGGTGGCTGGTTTGGGGTTTTTTTTTCTTTTTTTTAGGCATGGTGAGGGAAAGAAAAGGAATGCATCCATTTGATTGATAAGTGTTTTTGCTCAATAATAACCACTGCCCTTTTTTCCTCAATTGAGTTTCATTTCATTTGAATGAGACTGAAGTGTGTTACCCTTACTGTCACTAAGGAATTCAGCAGAAAAGGGAGACTATCTCTATAAAGAAGTATTTTTTGGCAATGTACGGAGGCATTTTTTATTGTCACAACTGGGGAGTGCCACTGGCAGCTAGTGAGAGGAGGCCAGGTTGCTGTTCAACGTCCTACAATGCACAGAACAGCCTCTTCCCGCACTACAAAGAGTCATCCAGGCCAAAATGCCAGTAGCGCAAAGATGAGAAACCCTGAAATGATTTCAAATATCCACACAATTCACTGTGTTTCTTAAGCCCAATATTCCAATAAGAACAAGAAGACTCTTATGAACTGGTATTTTGTGTTTTATATTTTAGCAGTTTGGGGGGTTTATTATAATTTCTCTGTATAAAGTTTCCTGAACTTTTCTGATTCATAATGTAGTGCCTAGCTGGGAAGCTAAGCCAGACGAAGGGGTACATTATTCTCCTAGAAAAACAGTTTGATTTTCTGCCAGAGATGTCACTGCCGTACTCTAGCTTAATACTGAATGACTTGGTAAAATTTGTCCCCTTGCGTAATGATGAGAGACGCTCCCTCATGCCTCAGATGATTAATGTTTCAGGCAAAGGACGTGCAACTGGCATTCAGGGTGAAGAGGAGAAAAGGATGTCTACAAGTGACCACCTCACTAGTCATATTTTTCTTCTTACAAAAGCATGTTCCAATTAAAGCAGTTCTAGGCCTGCAGGTCGATGCTTATTCTTGCACTACAGAAGCATCTTGCGAGATGTCAGCTGCCTGTGCCCGGTCTTCTCTTTGTTGATAAACAGATCAGTGCTCAGGTCCTCCATGCATTCTGTCACCCAGAAAGCAAGTTTGAATGACCCCATGATCATCGGTCTTCTAAAAAATTTGGCGTCATTACACATGATGTCACCTCCTTATTTGGAATCTTGTTTCGATGTTTGTTCATAATTTGGAAATGTTATTTTTGTGAGACTTTCTAAAAGATCCCTTATCTCTTTTTCTTGTTTCTTCTGTACCTTGGATTAACATTAATGATAATAATTCCGAACCATACCTGGCTAGGCAAGAATTTTCAAATGGCAAGGCTTTGGGATAAATTACTGGATGCACAGTAATGGTTAATTCATGGTAAATTCATGCATTACCATTAAATTAATGGCAATGGTAATGCATGGTAATGGTAATTTTTGAATGGTTAATTCAAAAATTTAACCATTTGCTTGTAATACGATGGGAACATAAGGTGATTATATGCTTTAGGAAAAAATGAGCTTCTATTACTAAATGTAAGGTTTAATAGATACTAACTAGAGCCAAGTGAAAGGCTTTGCTGGTGAATTTAGAGATTTATTCAAAAAATGAATTTTTTTTTGGTGTCAGAAGTAATGATACTAATGTCCATATTAACTAAAGCTTCATCTAGTAACTCTACACATTTTTAAAACTCAAATACTACTTTCTCAGCCTTCTACTTCACTCTTTTCTTTTAGGGTTCACATCCAATTCTTTAAACCTCTTCCCCAGATGTGCCCTCGACATCTTTTATGGTCTTTGTCTAATATACTAATCATTTAAATATTTATATCACTTATAGAGGACTTGTTATGTGGCAGCTACACATTACCCCGTTTATTGCTCCCAAGCCATGAAATAGGGATTCCTTGAGGAAACTCAAGTTCAGGGAGATGAGGTAACTTACCCAGAGTCATACCATGACTAAGCAGGGCCAGAGCTGATCTCCTGTCTCTGATTCCATAAACCGCGTTCCCACTGCTGCCCCGCCATGCTGGGCTTCCTCTCTTGAAACATAGGTTGTCACAAGATGATAAATCAGGGATACGTGAAACCCAAAGAATCCTCCTTCCTCTCCCTTTCTCTGGCCTTTGCTCAAAACATGTCTTTTTCTTTTATCTTTTTGTAAATACCACCCTGAGCTCCCTGAAGACAGAGATCAGTCTGCTTGCCATTCCGTCATCCTGTGGAACACAGTAGTGATATAAGCTACTTTCTCAGGCTTGTCCGCCCACAGACGTCTATCTAAGCAGAACTTAGTTGCTTCCAAATTTTTCAGAATTAGATTTCAATATTCTCTATATGGTTTAGCGGTTACTTGAACAAATTAGATAGCTCCTGCCAGTAGACTTGCACACAATTGTGTGGAGCTTTGATGCAAAATGAATTTCATACAGAGCGTCTATCTTGCATATCTATTTAGCCCAGTAAACTGTATGCTTGACTATACCATGTTGCTTTTCTAAATGTGGAACTAACAACTTTTTTTTGTAAGAACCATTTAAGATTACAAAAGGCTAAGCTTAAAAAACAAAACAAAACAAAAAAACTCCAAAGTATCAACATGTTCTCTGAGGTAACCTTTCCTTTGGTTCCTGGGCCCATCATGAAAGACTTCCTCCCAGGCATCAGCACCAGGCTGGGCCTGCAAAGTTTGAATTCTTAAGAACCTCTGGCCTGACTGAGTGGTTTGCATGTCAAAGTTAGTAAAAATCTGCAGGGAAATAGTCAGTTCAATTATTTTTGTAGACTTGTTCTTAAAGCTGGAGAGAAACCAAGACTGACTTTCTCGTGGGTTAGCTCTAAGAAGAATCACACTGCACTTGGCAGCAACCAGGCGAAGCCAGCATCCCAGAGGACATTAACAAAGCCGTGCCCCCTCCCCGTCTGTATACGTGTCACTGTAACTGATCCAGCCTAGAGCAACTAGAAGTCAGAGGTGTGTGGGCTATTGTCACCAACAAGGAACTTGTTTCCAGGAGTGGGTGATTGTCCTTCACAGACCCCAACGCTCTCACCTCTTCCTTTTCCTTTATTCTCCTTTTACATGTGGTCCCTTAAAATGACCTTACATAGTATTAGATATTTGTGCATTAAAAACCATTTTATAGCAGTGTGTACCGGTATTTTCTCCAAGTTGTTGCTCCAAACCATTACAAGGAGAGGATTCTACGTTGAAACACATTTTAGAAATGTGGGGATAACTGCTTTCCTTTACAGCAGACTTTCCCTAAGCACTAACGTGCCCCTGTACACTTGGAGTCTAAGGACTGACTAGGTACATAAGCAGCAGATCCCAAGACATTTTTGCTGAAATAGCTCACAGACTGGACTATAGCAGGATGCTGAGACAATGCAGGCAAAGCTGTCTCAAGCTCAGACTGGAACTGGAAGTCACTGAACAGGGTGGCTCAGCTTTAGGGGACAGCAAGGCCCTCCAAACATCCTCCACTCCTGTTCTTAAGGGCCTGGCTTGCTTTGGGGCTGGTGTCTGCTCTTGGCTCAGTTCCAACTCCAGCCACATCTATTTCCCTTGCCCTCCTTGATCCCTGGAGAAAATTTTTCCAGAAGACCTCCAGGGCTTTCTACCGGTTCAGGTGGAAACTTCTGAGGAACTACTTGCTGTTAATTAGGCAGCTTACCTGGGTCGGACCCCATGATAGATTGTCTCAGAAAGATGCTCCTGTCTTAACCACACAGGCCCTGGTCAAACCTCATAAGCTTCCTCTATCTGTAGTCTTTCCTCTTTTAGTTCAAAACTTCTCTCATTGCCTCTTTTAAGATCAACCAGCAACTTAGTCTAAACCTGGTTCTCTTGAATAAACCATTCTCTACTGTTTCTTATCTCAATAGCATCCCCTGGGATCCTTAAATACAATTTACCATTTTAATAAACACTCTCTATGGTCTTTGCTTCAAAATCCCAGCATTTAACATTATTGCAGAGATGTCTAAGGCCCACTTGAATTTCCTGCTTTGAAAATGATTGGATTTTCTGTTTGGATTCCCAGAGAGAGATATTCCTCCTTTAGGTTTACCGACTTAGCCAGGATGTGCCTGTGTCAATGATTTCATCAACAGTACTCCTCTCGGACACCCAGGAATGTTCTGTTCTGTATGTATGCACAGGGATCACACTTTTTCTTTTGATCTGGCAGATGGATGACAAGTTCCAATCTAGTGTGATAAATTTGTTTTCCCCTCAGAACTACAAATAGAGTTCTAAATGTGGCTTTGAAGCCACTCTTCCGTGGGTTGAATGGTTGCTGTGCTGGCCTCCAAGGCAGTCCTTACTGGACCTGGATTCTATTCTATTTTCTGCAGTTTCATTCAGTTCCCTGTACCAAGGCAAGACCAGCTCCAGCAGCTCATCCACCTCCTGCCTCTGGCTTGATCCTATTGTAGTGTTCAGAGATTTTACATTAACTTGCCTCCTGAGGCACCAGAACCTTCTGTTTCTTCATCAAGTTTATTATGAGGTTATTTTCCTTTCTTGTGGGATGGCTGCTAATTGGTTTTAGACAATGTTTACCCTGCCTTTTTGGTGTTTTTTTTTTTTTCATTATGTTTATTTGGGAATTGAAGGAGGAACATCCTGCAATCCCCTCCTATCATTATTTAATACCAACTAAATACTTTAGTTGTAGTCTAGGGATTAACCACAGTTCCTAAAGGAATCATCAATTCACCTTCTCACAAGGCAGGCAGAAAAGTGGCAGAAAGGAAATTAACATAATTGAACGTTTGTTGTGGTCCTCAATTTAACCTTCAAAATTCTTTCTGCTCAAGCACAAGTTATTCTTTAAATATTAACTTTAACTCAATGGTAGTTCACATCTCTCA